GGAATTTGGAGTCCGAAAAGTATTGTGAAAAACCTGTCCAATTTTCACATGAGAATAGCTAGTTTCAGATGAAGAAGTATCGTAGAAGTTTCTCTTTTCAAATTCAACATTCTCATTTCATCCAAAATAACGTCCATTTTAATATTTTTAAAGTATGCCAATGCTTTCAATAGAAATTTTAGAATATAAAATATTATTTTCAAATTTCCAATCTCATGTCAGGTCAATTGAGATTATACAGTGTGTTTGGATTGCTGAATTATTTTACGTGATATTTCGTTTGTATCATAAACATATTTTTTAATCCATCTTTTTATATTTCCAATTATCTTTTTATCTCACATACATCATATTACAAAAAATAAAATGTTACAATAATTATTCCAAATAATACTCTATCCAAACATACGAGTACAAGAAATTTCTATGTTTTCAAAAGCCTAATGATAATTGCTTTTAACAACCCTAAGTCCATTTAAAAATATATATAATATTATTTTCAAATTTCCAATCTCATGTCAGGTCAAATTAAGACATTCAGGCCTTGTTTAGCAGACAAGTTTATTGTCAAGTTTGTCTGCTACAAGTTTTTTAAAAACTTTAGTTACAGTAACCTCAAAAAACTTCTCAAAGATTTTAAACTATACATTTCAAAATATTTTTAAAAAAACACACTTTAAAAATTTTTTTAAAAACTTCTACAGTAAATTACAGTAAAGTTTTAGACAAACATCCAAAAAACTCACCAGTCAAACGGGCCTGAATTTTGCACAAAAGCAAATATGAGTACAAGAATTTTCTATGTATTCAAAAGCCTAATGATAATTTCCTTGCTTTGTATCATTAATTTCTAACCCTTAAGTCTTGAAATCTCCCCTAAACGATCAGTATTGACATGTCATTGTCTTAAAAGATGCATGTTCTTCTTTTTCTCGAGATTAGTGTTTTCATTTTCTTTATTTATGCATTCTCTACTTTTCCAACTTTTATTTCTCAAGGAATTAGCACCCTAAGATCGGTATTTGAATCTAGTTGCATGTATAGCTATTAAGTCTTTTAGTGATACAGAAGAATGAAGATCATCACTAGATGTTTTATTTCTTGAACTTCATCAGCAAAAAATCTTTGTGACTTAAAAAAAATTATCTAGAAGTTTAAAATCTTTTGTCTTTACAGTACTAGTACGGCAAACATATTTGTACTTGGCAGATGTTGAAAGTTACCAAATTCTACACATTTTAAGGGAATAAAATGTGTCTTTCTCTACAGGCCAATACGTAGATCCGCCCCTGAATATGACAGTATTGTTTCAATTATATTACGACCCCATTTAGGCTTGTGGTACTTTTGATAAAATAAAATTACTTTTTCGTGCTAAAAGTACTTTGAAATTGTTTGGCAGACGTCATCCCATAAAATTAGGAGGTGAAGTTTTTGATGTTTAAAGCACTTTTAGCAAAAGTTCAAGTTGAGTGCTTTTAAAATAGTTTTGTGATTTTAATCATTTTATCCTACGAACTAAATAAAGAAATAAATATATTTAAAAAATTTTAAATTTCATATGATCTAATACAATAAGTACCTATTAAACTATGTATCTAAACAATACATTTAAGTATTAAATTAGTAGGGGAAGGGTTGGATTGGGTGGTACGGGAGAAGGGAGGGTAAGTGAGAGATCTCGGATTCGAGTCATACTGCTTACACTAAAAGAAAAAAAAAAGTATTAAATAAGTATTTTTATTCAAAATTCTATTGGTGATGTGCGTTTCAATAAGTTATTGCAGCTCCAAATTGCCTCGCGACAAAGTTCGAAATTCATGGTGCTAAATCGAATTTCCCGAGTAGTCATCACACGATCAGCAATTGTTGGGCCATTATCCAAAATTCCAAACCAATCAGTGGACAATTTTCCACAACGAAATAAATTGCTGAAGGGACAAGTCACCGGAATCTTCAAGGAAGTTTCCTCCCTTGCTCAATGAGTGAGCGTGTGATGGAAAGTGGAAACCTAAAAAAAGCAATGTTTGATTTTGGTTGGCTCACCCGTCAAGTGGGGTTTGTTTGGATAGTGTTTTATTTCCCTAATTTTATCTGCTTACATCATCATTACAATTTTCAATACACCTTTTTATCTTTTCAGTTATTTTTTTATCTCACACACATCACATCACAAAAAGTGCTACAGTAAAAATATTCCAAATAAAACACAATCCAAACAAATTGGTCTAATAGCGAATGCAGAATGAAGACAGACACTGTAGAAGTTTGAGTTTTCGGGTTCGAATCTATTTTTCTTTTTTTTTCTTTGTCGCATCGAATCGATGGAAGTAAAAATTCTATCGGAAAAAAATCACTAAAAACAGTCATCTATAGTGATAATTTGGTGAAAAGTCAAGGGTTCATCAAGACCTAAGTGCTAGTCAGTGACCACCAAGCCAAAGGGTTGGTGGCTGGGTTCAAATCTCCAATTTGCGAGTTTTTATATATGGGATAGTTTAAGAAATCTATAATTTCATTTGGCTCTTCTAAAGGTTTTGAATATTGCACTTTCCTCCTCCATTTTGAATTTCTATGTGACAAAGTGAGTCCATGTACCTAAAAAATCATATAAAAGCTTGAAATGCATTTTTCTTTCCCAAGATGCCCTTGCATACTAATATAATAGACTAAAATAAAAAAAAAGAACTGGAAAAATGCAATAAAAAAGAAATAAATTGATTTTACAAAATTATTTACTCAATGAAAGAAGGAAAAATATAAAATTTTGTACTTAGAAGTACTTAAGAAAAAACCAAATTCTACTCATCAGGTAAGACGTTAATTTTTTTATGTTCTTAAGTGTAATAATTTGCCTTAAAAAACATTTGTGATAATATGGCCTACTTCTTTATTGCAAATGCCAAATACATCTATTCCCTTTTCTTTTATAATTTCAAGCCCTTAATTTTGAATTTGTTATTTCAAATTCTTGTGCCAATAAATATTTTCAAGCATCAAGCTTTAAATATCAATTTTCCTAATGGTTTAGTTGAGACCTGTCTAACTCGCTATGGCATATCATTAGTAATTTGCCAAGATAAATTTCACTCATCTTTCAAATAATTTTGCAACTTTTTATAAGCTATGGAAGGGCGATTTGGGAATGAAAGTACATTTTAGCATTTCATCGATATGGATTGACATTGTTATAATAAAACTCAAAATAAGGGCGGTAGGTGTAATATTTAAAACCTCAGGGGAGTGAAGAGTAATTTTTGAAAAACTCATTGGAGGTTTCTAAAATTATCTCTAAATATAATAGCGTGTTAGCAGTGCTCACACGGTCTATGGATTAATCGTTCTATTCTTTAAATACACTAACTCCTTAAACACATGCTACATGTGCAAAAAGTAAAATTAATCAAATTCAAATTGAAATTATTTGATATGCATCCAAGAATCCTTCCGTATGCAAAAAGTGGAATGCCATTAAGAAAAAGTAAACATGCAAAAGATCCAAAAGGTTTTCTTCTTGGGAATTTCAAAAATTTGTTCCATTGTAACATAATTTATAAGCAAAAAGTCAGATCAATCAATAATGTAATTTGGAATGAAACAAACATAGCCTGTATGGTACATGTTTCTCACGTTTGATGTGAAAAATCAGCAATACAGTCCATGAAAAACGCTTTTGTCTTTTTTACCAGTCCAGTACGAGATGTGGCTTATCACTTATCAGGGATTGAGGCTCAGCTAGTTTTCAAGTAAAAGTTTTTTTTTTTTTTTTTTTTTTTTTGTCAATTCATGCTCGAATCCTTCACATTGGATCCTAGCTAGGCTGTCAATCGGGTCTAATGAGCCCGGTTTTGATAAGCTCAAGCTCAACTCATTTGATTTGATATATTTTCGGGTTTCGGGTTATAAGTTTCAGGTTCATGAATGCGAAACTCATACTCAATTCACACAATATTCGGATTGTGAGCCTTAATCGGGTTTAGTCCAAACTCACTTATTACTCCTTAATTTTCTTAATGTAATTACTAAAACTATTAAGTTGTAAAACTAATTTAACATTTACAAGGCTATAATATTAAAACTAAATATGAACAAATAATAGTTCTTAAAAAGTATATAAACCAAAAATTTTTCAACAATATTTATATTTAATTCGTTCAAAATGCATGAAAAATAGTAATAAATCATGCGATCATAAGCCAAGACATCTTTAAAAGTTGAAACTTTTTTTATAATCTTGTGATTTAAATCCAAATATGCTTGATGATTTGTGTTTGTAGACCAAAAAGAAATCAACCAATATTATGCCAATACAAAAATTTACTCAACCAATAAGAAAAGTTAAAGATTTAGTTATGCATTACTAATATTGATTCTCAAGAAAGCTCATGGAAGATTCTTTAGATGTATTATTGTGCTTTGTAATTTATATACATATTTAGTATTTAGTAATAATATATTTGGATATATAAATATACATAACATCAAAATATAAATATTATATATATAGGTAATTAAAGGACCGGACCTATATCGAATTTGAGCCTAATAAAACTCAAGCTTGGCTCTTATTTAATTTGGGGCAAATTTTTAGGCTCAAGCTCAGACCGGTTCATTAAATGGTCGGGCTCATCGGACTTTTTGTCGGCTCGAGCTGGCCCAGCCCTATTGACAGTCCTAATCCTAGCCTATTAATCCTGTCACGAGTCCATCACATTGGACCACCAAAATTATTTGCTAAAGTACACGCAGTCACGGTTTGATATATCAATCAGGAACCCCATTCATGCAGGTCCAAAACTGAACTCCAAGCCAAGGCATTTTGTCCCCACTAATATGTGAGAGTAGTTTGACACATGACATGTGATAGCTAGGCCTCGAGGCAACTTCCTTCCTTGGCATATGCCTCACGTACAAACTTTGGTTGAAACTCGAAGAATCACAAGTTTGATATTCTTGCGACCCCTGAGGGTCATCTGCAATCTCTCACGGCATCCAATAGTGTGTGTGTATGATGTAGAATGAAAGTAAACACTAGAACAATAATAATGTAGCCACGTAAATTTTTTTTTAAAAAAATTTTACAAGAGCTGTGTTTCACAATCAGTTCGATCGGCTAGTTTCAAATTCGACCGATTTAAATCGTCAGTTATCTGGCGCGATTGCTCTGACAACTGGAATGAATCTGTTCTTGATTGGCCTTTGCTGTTCTTCATCATGATTGGGCTACGAATGCGTGGCCTGGGAGGATGCCTTGGGCTTGGAGCAGTCATGGCAAAAATTCAAGAAAGGGAGACAAATTCGGAGAACGGAAACTGACATGTCCAGCCCCCCAGCAGCTTGGAATTGCTTTTAGTCGAATGAGATTTTCCAACAACCCGGCGGTCATTTCAGGTCCATGTTTTTTTATGCATTTTGTTCTTCTTTGGCAAAATACCAGCACTGATAAAATATTAGACAATCAAATCCAACACAAAAATACAAGATAGGAGATATATATATATATATATATATATATATATAATTATTGATAAAGGAGTAATTTAGCAAGGGACAATGCAAATCATTAGTTGTACTTGAAATACTACTACAAAAAAATTTCTGGACTTTTGAAGAGATTCAATTCTTCAAGATCTTCTTTCTTTATTTTTTCTCTATTCGGTAGACTTAATTTTCCTTGAGATCTAATAGTTTAGAAACTGCGTCATGCATTTGCTTATTGCTAACTGTTTACTACTTAGCACTTACTCTTCTTTCATTTTTTTTTTGGGTCACAAATTAGCCCCTTAGTTACGTAGCAACATCTTTAACATCATCAACTATAAGGTCAAAGTAAAAATCACTACAAAAATAAATAAAAATTAAGTAGCAATAAAAATCAGTTTCAAGAAAGAGATAAAGAAAAAAGTAAAATTTTTAGTATCTAAGTTCACAAAAACCATTATAATGCTGCAAACAGAAGATAAATTAATTTTTTTTGCATTTTCTATGGAAAAATACACTAAAGAATTTTGACAAAGTTCGACTCTTATGTGCCCGCTAATCTACCCTTTTGGTAAACACCTCACCTGGTGGCAGAGATAAGACCACATGAGATTGAATCTTGACACAATATAGTTTTATAAAGTATGGACTACTACAATACATACATTTTCCATGAAAAATGATAGAAAATATTGCAATACATACATAAGTAAATTTATTGATAAATATATATTTTGTTAAATGTGAGTAACTAAACAATCATTCGATAATAATCAACTACCAATTGTGCAGCCACCGTTTAACAATCTTCACTGCTAAATTATTGAAAAGTTTTTCTCAATAGTTGCAATTGCAACAAATAATATGAAAGCTAAAGGGGGATAGACAAATGGAAATATATTATCTTTTTTTGGTTTTTATTTTGAAATATTTCATGAACTCTTAAAATATTTTAAAATAAAAATTTTCAAGTATTTTATCAACTGCCTACCATTTGGGCTCTTCGTTTAAAGTCTATTCATAACTTTCTAAAAAATAAAAATTCATAAATGAAAAAGTAAAATTTGTAAAATTTTCATTCCGCATATTCTTATTTTTTTTGTCAACTAACTATATGTAAAAAAGTCTAAATCCTAATTAATTTCTTAATTATTCATCACACACTATTACAACAAAACAAGGTGATATTTTTTTGGTAAAACCCTGTACATGGGTATAGGATATCAGTCCAAAATGTTTGGAAAAATAAATAGAATACAAGAGGGACTAAAACCTACATTCCTGTACATGAGAAAAGGTTTAAGATGGAGTACTACCCCTTTGTATTGAAAACTGTAATAGTAGCAAAGTCAGCAATCTCTAACCTAAGAATAGTTTTAAGTTTTGTAAGATTCATAGGATAAATATGTTCATCCTGAAAATTCAATAATGCTAAGTAACTCGCAGCACTATTAGCTTCATTGTAAATATGTTGAATAAAAGTTTGTAAAGATTCAATCAAGCTAGAACATGACAAACAACATTGGAAAGAGGTCATTTAACAATGTCCAACTTGGTCACCATCGGAATAAGAGCATCAAAATCAAACTCCACTTGTATGTCAGAAAACCCATAAGAAATGAAATCCCACCACTTGCAAGGATGATTTAGGGGGTGGGAAGGGGCAGCCCTCCTTCCCCTAATTTTTTTTTGAAATTTTTATTTTGTGATGTCTATTTTTAGAGAAAAGGTTAGGTATGTCATTTAGCATGTGAATCCATTAAAATAGCTTTTCAAAATATGAAATAATTGATACATTAATTAAGTAGGTTGTTTCTCATCCATATTAACAAATGCCCATGGTAATCTATTAGAAAATCCCATTTTATAATTCTTGCCCCCTCAAATATTTTTCATGTTTATCCTTTATTCATCTTCTCTCTACCATTCCAAGTTTTTTGAATTATCTATTCTATGAGATAAATTACGTAAATCGGTAAATAAGGAAGGTAGAATTTGTAAACAATCAAGGAAATAAGAATTTGGATAATAAATAAGGTAAATCTTTTAAAAGTATTAAGAATTTTTTTCTAACACGAGTAAGTTACACCTATCTTACTATATAAATACACACAATCACAATAATTGCACTCTTCGCATTTAGAGATTTTCATGAATTAACCACACTTTTCTTTAAAGAAAAAACTAACACCTTGCCAAACTAAAATTTTAATATTAGAAAAATGTATAATAAATAGAAAAATTAAGGTGTGAGATATGAGTTGGCAAAAGAACAAATTTCACTTCAATGTTGCATCATTTAGAATCTAACTTTTCACCTAAAGTTTATCTTTTCTCTTGGAACATTTTCAATTGATCATTTTTTTCTCTTTATTCTGTAGTTTTGGATAATCTTTGTTGAAAAGATTCTTTTCATGTAAATCAATTTAATATACGTTAAAAGATGGTTCAAATACAAAGTTACATCATTATTAGTCTTCTAAGTTGCACTATTATTAATCTTCTAATTTAAAAGAACTTAAAGAGCTCGAGTGTTCATGGGAGACTCTCAGACTCCAAACCTTAGAAAAGAAGAGTTTAAGAATTGAACCACGAATCTCATAACCAGTGTTTAATGTACTTCTCTCTTAATATTGTATTACCTAACAAAACTAATAAAATTTTAGCTTAAAATTGGGCAGGCTCGCAATATCATATATTTGGTGTTTGCCCCCTACTCCCAAATAAAAATTCTGATTCTATCACTTGAAGGTTAGAAAACTTATGAGAAAGATATAAAGATAAACCAAACAAAGGTGCTCATTCTTTAACTAAGACCACAACAAAGTCATAAAATTCCTTATAAAATGCAAAAACTAAATTGGTAATGAAGTATACATCCAATAGCTGGTGAAGAGGAATAAATGAATGCATCCATATTAAGCTTATACATATCGGTTTGAACCAAAATACTACTTTGCATTTAACCCTTGGAGATGACCAAAATAAGGTGATATTTAAATAAAACAAAAAAAGTGTTATAAAAGTTCTATGAATGTATCACTAACTAGTCAAATAAATCAATAAAGCTTCAATTTTGAATAGAAATAACCTTAGAGTTCAAAAGTACGAGATAAATAAAGCTTCAAGTTTGAATGGAAATAGTTTTAGAGTTCGAAAGTATGAAATTAGTTTTGGATTTGGTTAGGAATTGATATTAGTTGTACTATCTTTGAAAATAAAAAAAAATGAAACTAGTTTGGAGTTCAATTTAATTTGGAGTAACGTTTTAATTAGTTCAAAGAATATATATCATGTATTACCTTTTTATTTGTTTAAACAAGATATGTTGGCTCCTTTTTTGCATAAATAGTTTTATGAAAAAAAATCTTTTATAATACATAATTGTGTATACCATAAGTGATAGATTTAATACACTATTTTCGAGTATTGACTTCTAAAACCTTACTCCTTGCAGCCTGAGTTCCATAGTTATGAGGAGTTTGTTCGTAGACACTTGATGTGCCTCCTCATTATTGGATCGATTAGCATGCCTATTACTTGACGACAAGGTGACAAGAGGAAAACAGATGGGGTTGAATCATCAATACAATGTTCAAATAGAGTGCCACCTAACTACTTCCCGGTCTATCACATGCTTACAGAGGGATGAAATAATTTTAGAAAAGTCAATTCCTACTATCTGGCGATATTTTGGGTTTGCTCTTGCCTGAATATGTTGATGACATGGTAAGAGAATTCCTCAATAAAACTGTTCATTAAATGTTTATTTGACATAATTCTTTGATAGGACAGTGGTTGGACCCTTGCTTGGTGGAGCCAAATATCATTAGCTCATCTTTATTCACTAGTTCAATATGCACAATGTAATTGGTTCTATAAGTTCCAAGGACATGGTTTGAGGATGTGCTCCGCCAATGCATAGGGCTGTGGCATAAGGTCACCTAGAAATGCACTCAGTTGTATCGCCTATGGTTGATTTTCAGTCATAATTTTAATATGGTATGTAAAAGTTATATGTTTTGGTTACTCATGTGTAACTCGTTGGATCTAATTCATACATCAACCGCTAATTAACTCTTCCATAAATTGTCATAGGAAAGGCGACCACGGGAGCTAGAGAGGCTAGTAGGAAAAAATCCATATCGCCCCACAATGAAATCAGGAAGCTGACACACTGTTTCTCAACCATAAGAGGTCAATGAACAAGAAGATGATTTGCCAGTAGATACTCCAACTAATGTGCCTCAGAGGAGCACTAGATTGAACAAGGATAAGAAAAAGAGGAGCAAGAAAAGTTTAAGGGAAGTACTTATTGGGGGTGGAGCTGGTCTAGATAGCTGCGGAAGCTTAATCAGGTTTGTTAGGTTGCAACCATCTAAAATAAGGGGTCAGGATTAGCTGTATCACAACCATAATGTATGGGAGAATGTTTTATGATTGCTTATAGATGGTAGTAAAATGAATAGTATAAAATGGGTTATGTGTAGTTCAATTACAACGCTGCCAATTTGTGATCATTCTAGCCTGATTTACGTTTCTCCCTAATTGTAATTAGCTTAACTTTAATTAGCTAAATTTCAGATTGGCTCAACTTAAATGCATAGTTGCTCACATTAACCAAATTTAATCATGTCATGTACATTTTCTAACTAGGCCTATACACTAGACCACTTTAGATAAAAGTTAACAGATCTTACTAATTATAAACCCTCACATTTGGACTCTTGCCTTTTGTTTACGATCATTTCCTAGTACTCAGCCTGCATCAAATGCAATGCAACAGGCCCAGCTACTGATAACCCACCAAATCTGGACTCATCAATTTTATTTTTACTTCATGAAGCTTGGCCTTCTATTTACAATTATTTCTGGGTACAATATCTACATCAAATAAAATGTAACGGGTCCAACTGCTTAAAGCTTATTAACGGTGGACTCCTCAAGTTCATTTGAGCTAATTTTTTGAGAATTGCCCTAAAATTCTCATTGCACTCTAACCAACTAAATATATTATTTAGTTTTTAATGTTTTCTGAAAGATATTTTTTATTTTTTATTTTCCCCCAGATGTATCCTAAGCTGAAGAATATTAAAACCGCTATTTGCTGTCAACTATGGGTTCTAAGTTATGATGTTTTCGACCAACAGTGGCATGTTGTAATATATTCTTAATTAGTCAGATTTTTCATTTTTCAATATCGCCTCTGATGTTATATTGTTATTAGCATAACCACATCAGCTCATTTTTTTACCACTAGTTCGTTTGGCCTATCATCATGGATACTTTACCAAAACTCAGCAGCAAGCATCTATTTCTTAAATTTAATTTGTGCACTATCTTCTTAAACCTTTATTCAAGGAAATAGGTATGGTTGTGCTTACACACCACATAGATAAATTTTTGAATACATTTCTACTAATTCAAATTACATGTCCAAATAGTGTCACACAAATCACCAAACAATAGCATACTTGCCCTATATCTTCTTCATCTATGAATCAAGCCATACCAAATCATTCACTTGTTCACAATAATCAACTGCCAACACCGTTTCCACCATTGCACATTTCCTATCCCGTTTTTCTAAATATGCAACTACTCTCACCAAGTGTGTATGTTTTCATTACACTTGACCATGCCAACAAAACCATACACATGAAATTAGTATCAGTGCAATAGGTTCCATGTACTATTAAAAAATTTCCTTACATTACCTGTGAGCATCCAATTTCACTGATCGTGCTACTAAAGTCGTTTTGAGCTCCTTCCACCCAAAATCACTGCTACATTTTCGAACATGCTGCTCATTTGAGAGCACTCAATGAATCTCAATAATAAAGCATTATCTGTGACTCTTTTTCTTCATTGATGTACTTCTCAATCTTATCTTTTTCACTATTTCTATTCGACATGTTCTTGCATTATGCTCATCCCTCAATCTATGAAAATATAAACAAATTATTTTTATCCTTAAACATTAAGTATAGGCAATCTTATGATGACACACATGCATTACAAATATAGTAATATTTATAATAATGCTATAAGAGATAAGATATTACCGGTACTCTTCATATTTCTTGTGCTTGCTCTTTTACCGAGTCTTGTGATCACTTTTCTCCCTCGTGTAATTGGGATCTAACATACTAATATTTTTTCAATTTTCTAGTATCTCATATTCACCAAATTTTGAGTAGCGGTCTCCTATGCCTTGATTAATACACTGCGGCTGCCAAGTATAAATCTCTTTCTGGATCATCTTCCTTGCCTGTCAAAAACCACTTCTAAAGGTGAAGCATAAAAGTACATTGTTTTGCATTCTTGCATGAATGTACTGTAACTAGTCATTCTACTCAAGTCTTCTGGAAAAACACCTTCATCGATTACACTCATCCACCTATACAATATACATGAAACTAGAATCTCAATTATTTGTTCACATATTATTACCTTAAACATATGCAGGTATAATAGTCACATTGATTCATATCTCAAGTACAAGTACCTAATTTCTCCATTTCTGCTCTGCTATTCATGTCAACACCTACTCTTTTTCATCGTCTTGGTACTTTATAAATGTATAAGTACATCCATATTCATATAACTCCATATTTCAATAAATAGATCCTGTCTCTTTAGATGTTTCTTTACCCTATAAAACCTATCTCTTGTATAAATTTGGACAACACTACTCTTGATTAACTTCATCTCTATTGTCATGATAGGTGTTTTATCATTGTCTCGTGGACTTTTCTAAACTCTGTGTGTCACATGTATGATAACACTATTTCATATATTTTCACAAAGTTATACAACTTCATTTGGAAGTTCAAAATACCCTTCAGATATGTATTCATACTTTTACATTTTTGAATGCTTCTCATTCTTACAAAAAATCTCCCCTCAGATATGCCTCTGTCAATATATTTTGCCATTTATACATCTTGTCCATCCATGCATTTCTCTCTAGTCCACACTCCTTAATGAAGTTTCTCCATCTGAACTCAAACTCATTTATACTACACTTCATACCCATGAGACGGACAAATTTGCTCGTGAACTCTGTTGATCATATATTGATCCCACAATTTTTATCCATGTGTCATGAGCATAGCCTGTGACGAGTTTTGAGAATAAATTTTTCTATTGCTTTCTGCATTGACCTATCACTATTTGTCATCACAACTATTGGTTTCTTGCCATCCATGGCCTCAAGAAATGTTTTCAAAATCTAATCGTAAGTTACTACATTTTCATAGGCTATTAATGCACACCCAAATATAGTTTTGCAATAGTGATTATTTACTCCAACAAATATAACCAACGGCCTCTCATAATCATTTGTCTAGTATGTACTACCAAAAACTAGAATATCTTTAAAATAATTGTAGTATATTCTTGATCTCGAGTCTACTTAGAACGATGTGCTTAATCTACCTTCATCATCTTGTAAATACTTGAAGTAAAACATCTTGTCTTTATCTTGTAAATCTGACATATACCCTAATGCTCTTTTTACATCACCCAAATCAATTACCTTCTTCTTCATCTTATCAATTTTATTTTATAAGTCTTTCACCATAAATCCAAGCTTGTGTATCCATTGAATTGTACAACAAAATACTGCATTATCTAGGATGTCTTAATTCCCACCATTTTTATTATCTTCACTTAAGCATAATCTGCATCATCAAGTTTCCTATGTGACTTCAAAAACTGATGATACGATTCTCGATAAATCAAGACAAATTAAGAACGTGAACCACAAACCTTGAACCTAGATTAAGGATCCATATTTGGGATGAAATTCGTAATCAATCAAAGACAGCTCACGATTGACTAGAATAGATAGAACGATGCCACAATTAAGATGAATACTTGATTGATAAGTCGATGAAACATCTTACTTTAACTCTAAGATGTTCAAGACGGCTTTCACAAGCCAAAAGAACTTTCTCTCAAGAAAGAAATTCTGAAAAATTTCTCACAAAATTTTATTAATTCATATCTTAAAGAAATAATGCATGACTTAAGCTATTTATAGCCTTTGCAAGGATGGCTAGAATAATAAATTAAACCTACCTAAATTTGGACAACTAATTCGGCTATAACAAGATTCAAATCAAAACTCAAACCATTGGCTCAAAAGATGATCTACATAACCTAGCCATTAACCATCAATTAACACGAGTAACCAACTAACAACTTGTTGAAAATAACCAAACTAACGATACTAACAACTAAATAACAATTATAACTTACATAAACATGCTAAAACCAAGGAAGGGACAGATCTATAGAGTTTCAATAGATTAACTACTCTTTTATTTTGAATCATCTTTAGAACTTGACACCATTGACCCCATGTTCATATCATTCCCTTTCTCTTAAAAGAGATTTGCCCACAAATCGACAGATTGAAAAAAATACAGCACTTTGGGTAACACTTTCATGCGAGCACACCACGTTGCATGGAGCTTATGTAATTGTAAGAAACTCAAGAGTAAAGACTTCAATCACGGTATGTACCAATGCACATGAAATATGTTACAATGGCATTTTGCTATTAGTCTCTCACAGACACTCTCTACAAGCAAATCAACCCTTTGTCATGGATTGTTATAGTAGGACCTACAAAAGAAATCACACAATTAGTACTTGTAGATATAAAACTATTTGAGAACTCACCATTTGCATGCACTAGATAAGGATCTTCTTAGTAATGCTCAAAGAGATTAGAAAAACTCCTAATCTGGTTTTGCAAAGTAGTAAAATTCATCACTAATTGATGTTTATGTGACATATTTTTATAACTTTGCACATCTTGCATAGATGAAACTAAATAAGGATGGAAAACTTTAGAATCTAAGATGAAACAACGAAGTAAGTGCTCAAAGAACCAAAAAATGGACAATGGAAGAATGAAACATCAATATCAAATTTGTAAGGAAGTATGGAACTCCTTTTGACATGACAATTGGCTGATCAATAAGTAAAATATTTTTAACTTGAAATTTGAACACATGTTGATAGTAAAAAGAAGCAACATTCAAGACTCCAACTCCATAGAAACTCTTTAACTCTTCAATGGATGTAGGAATGGAACAATGTAAAATCAAAACGATTGTATTTTGCTTAACCTGCTCCAAATAAGAAACACTAAACAAGACAAAGTTAAGATAATAAGTACAATAAGAATCTCTCCCCACATCCTTTGATTTTGCAATGAATAATTGCTCTCTCTTATTTTTTTACTAGAGCCAAATAACTTGTGAAAATTTTCTCACTCGTTTCTTTTGAATGCTCATTCTCTCTTTTTTTGACATATCCCTCAATTTTTACATCAAGTGCATTCTCAAGTTTTACCTCTACACTCTCACTACCACGCCCAACTCGCTCTTTGTTAAGTTTTTGTTGTAGGAGGTGTTGATATGTTTCCCATACTCTACTAACTCTTTCATATATGGATGATGTATTTGCATGCTTTGTTGTCGAATGAATCTCCTCTCTTCTCCTTGAATAT